CCCCCCTGCTCCCCCCCACAGCAACCGAACGACAACAGGACTTAAAAAAAAACAGTGGGAAGTGACATTCAATAACTACACCAGCGTTTGAGTTAAGGCAGAATAAATAACCGTTCCACACCAGTGACAGGCATTTCCAGGCGGGCGCTGGAGCCCGGAGGACCGCTGCTGCTCTCCCCGTCCCGCGTGCGAGGGCTGGGGGCTGCGGGCCGCCCCAGCGCAGGGTGCTGGGCCGGGCTCAGGCTCCCCTCGCCGCATGCTGTCCCACGCTCCCCAGCGCTCCGGATCGTGATGTCCCACGCTCCCCGGATCGTGCTCATTGCAGTAGTGTTGTGTGCCTCAGGCAAGTCAAGTACATGCTGTGAAGAGACACCCCCCCCCCTTACCCCAAGCAGGTTTGGCCATAAGGTTATTTTTATTTTGCCAAGCAACTCAGCCTCTTCCCCACTCATTTTGTCTGGGATTTTCCCCATACACACTGGCTTCTCCATAACAGCCTCCTTATTGCTTCAGCAGCATCCCAGTCCTGGACCAGAGGGAGGTGATCCGCTCACCTTGGAGAGGGATGGACTAGCATGAAAGAGCACAGTTCAGGATTTACAGACCTGCAGCTGCCTTTGGAGTGGCAACTGATGGGCAGTTTGAGCCCAGCTCAGTCCAGGATGAGTGGCTTAAGTGGCACAGTCCACTTAAAAGAGAAGCCACAGCTCTTGGTAGCATGAAGAGTTTCCCCTCTCTGTTGGGGTGGGCAAAGCCGTTGGACATAGCTGGGCAGAGTTAGCACCGCAAAAAAAAGAGTGGCCAGTTAGAGGGACATGGCTGTTGATGTGAATGATGGTACATACCTCAACCATAAATAAAACCACAGAGTGAATGCAATCCTGCCAAGTAGCACAAGATACTCAGGGGGAAAGTAATAACAATCAGTGTCCCACTTTTCCATGCCAGCAGAACAGTCATTTAGAGGGAAATCCACCAAACGGCAAGAGTTAAGAGCTCTGTTCCGTCCCAGCCAGTTAGTGTATTAGTCCCAATTCCTCAAACCATGAGCAAAGGACAGTACCAATCCTTTCAGGAAAGAAAACAAAAAACATAAAACCCATTCAGTTAAAATCTGGCTTCTCAAAGCCTTTAAAAAAAACCTAGATGCCCTCTTCAGTTGGTGCATAAGAAAACCCTAAAAATGCATCTGATGCACTGGAGCTGCTGGCTGCTAGGTCAGGCGTGTGGGTGATGGAGGTGGAGATCGCTTCTTGGGTGAACTCCGGGTCAAAGTGTCGCAGATCAGCTGGACCAGCCTAAGCCAAGGAGCAGAGAGGCACACAGTCATTTCAAGTGAGCAGATCCCAGCCAACTGCTTGTGTTCAGACAGTCTAACACAGCTGCTCTTCCAAAAGTGTCATCACCACTGCATTTGCAGTTCCTAACCTGCATTTCAGCGTCCCTCACTGTCAGCACAAGACATCTGGAGAGGATTCCTTTTGTGCCACTACATAACAGATACCAACAGAAATACCCACTTACCACATTGGGGTTAAACGGAGGAGTAATCCTCTTGTGGTACAAGTCATCCCAGTTTATTGGGCTGAAGAATACATGGTTCTTTATCTCAAGCTGCATAGAAAGTGGAAGGAGAAAAGTCACTCTTCTGCCAACCCTCCTTTTCCAGCACCTGCCAGCTGGTTTCATAGTATTAAGTGGTTGAAGCAAGACTCGGAGCTACCACATATCCATGTAGGGCCCATATAGCAAATCCTTAATACCTGAGGGTCATGGTCCAGTAGTCCCTTGAAGGGAGATGACACCACCACACATTAGTGTCCTAGCTTGCCACCACACCTTTCCCTTTGGAAATCCAAATCAACCCTCTATGCCCCTTTTAGGAGGCTGGAGAGACATCAACCTGCATGGAAAGCTTTTTCCAAGGCAGTGCTGTTATCACAAAAGAAAAGCTCAGAATAGAAAGGTTTCCTATCCATCCTCCCTCCTGACCATAATGGAGGCCACCTACAAAGTCTGTTTTGGCACCCAGCCTCCTCTTCTGGTCCTTGTGGAGAAGTCCCTGGAGAATGTCACAAGCTGCCACAGTCTTGCTTCCTTGGATCTGGAGTGGCTTGTGCAGAATGTTGTCATACATTTGAGACACATCCCGGCTGTAAAAAGGAGGCTAATTTGAAAGAGAGGAGAAGCAGCCAGGTAAAACATGAGCTACCATAAGGAACCACACATCACAGGTCAAAATGAGTCCTACAGCAAGCAGATGAGGGAGACCTGCCATATCTCAGATATCAGACAGACATATCTCTGTACAAAAGGGCTATGGCATGACTGAAACAGGTCATCCAATTCAGGATTCGGTTGTCTGTGTTGGGTACCCTGTGAACACCAGACCAACCTCACGTCACAGCTTTCAAAAATAATTCTCCACCATGTAGAGTAAAACAGACAGCTTCCAAACTTACCAGTCCAAACAGCATCTCATAGAGGACAGCTCCCAGGCACCACCAGTCGACTGTCCTGTCATACGGCTGCTTCTTTAGAACCTCTGGAGCCAAGTACTGGGAAGAGTCAGAAGTAAGTATTTGTGAATCAAATTACAGAGGAAGGGCTTTGTCCTCATAAGTACACAAACCTGGCCACAGTTCAAACTGAGCAAATGCATTAGGAAACACACAGATGCATTTTCCTGCTATGCTTGATAGACTCTCCGCTTGCTTCAGAGCCACAGGTTTGAAAGACACCTACCAAAACCCCCAAAGTGTTTTTCTGGGCTACAGAAGGTTCTCCTCCTGTAGAGGACTTATACAAGGATTTGCCACCCACCACAACTCAGCCAGCAAACCTGCCCTGCACTGACACATAACACCTCTTAAGACTCACGTAGTTTTGAGAAAGCTGCAGTTTTCAGTCACATTAAGTCTGTTCAATCAGCAAAACTACCAATAACTGCCACCAAGGAGCAACAGGGAAGAATTCAAGCAGCCTGCAGAACAAGCAGCACATCAAGCCTTGTCTTGCACAGGATTAGTGTACTCTGTGTACTACTAGGCTCCCTATCTAGGGCAGGGAAAAGAAAAAAGCAAGCCACACACACCAAAAACCACAAAACAAAACTCAAACATTCATGCTTGGTTCATGCTGTGCTATTGCATAAGTGGGTCTGAGGGCTACCACCAGGAAATTCCTGCCCACTTCCACTGAGCTTGAATACTGAAAGGTATCTTGTTTACAGACCCTTCTTCAAGCTACCTGAGGAAGGGCAGCAGGACAGGTGTATTACCTAGGCCAAAGTGCTACCAAAATCCCCAGCTCAGTAAGAAGCAGGAAAAAAGCCTCCAAGAAGCCAAATTGGAGATAGGTTTTAGCAAAGCCTATTTGAGATGCATTGGAGAAAAGGCATTTCCTCCCCTCTGAGCAGCATTCACATTCCAGAGGAGAGCCTGGCCCTCTCCTCTGCACAGGGTGTTTTGCAGCTCCTCCATACCGAGGACACGCAAAAGAGCACAGCAAGGTCCTGTGTATGTCAGTACCAGCAGGCTCCCTGTTCTGCAGCTCCAGGGTATCAGAGCAGGTAAACAGCCTACTCACAGGCTTGCTCATGGGCTCCCAGGGTCAAGGTTGTCTCCACAGCTACCTGGAGCTGCCCCAGTTTCACAAGACTGGACATTTCTGAGTGCAGGGATTCCTGTCCCTGATAGCACAGCAAATTTAGAGTACTAATCAGCTGTTACAGGTAAAACTGTCTCTGTTGAGTAGGGGAGACCTTATCTGAACTCCAGCTTCAGGCTGACAACCTCAGAAAGCCCAAGACAGTCTAATTCACAGAGCCCATGTTTTGAGATGCTGAGCACCCACGCAAGTCTGAGACCTAGAGCAGCAAGTCTCTGAAGACTTTCAGCCCCCAGGTCACAGTGAAATCCCAGCACATGCTGTACCTCAGGAGTGCCACAAAAAGTAGAAGTTGTCTCCTCTTGCTCCATTCCTTCTTTGCAGAGTCCAAAGTCTGTCAATACTATGTGTCCCTAAAGAAGAGAGGGAAATTTCAGCTTGACTGACTCCTTCTAGAGAGGAGACAAGATTTCCAAGCACTGGCCTTCACAATGCATCTCATGTATGGTTTAGTTCCCCACTGTTTATCCGCTTCTCCTCCCTCACCTTCTGGACATCCTATAGTACAAGTACAGGAGCCTATCGAGAAAGAGTCTAGGTTTTTTTTTTAATTTGGCTACAACTGCATAGCTATGAAGAGATCCAGCACTGCTGTGCTTTGCCACTGCTTCATCCCAGAGCCACCAGAGTAGCAGCAATTACTTCCTCTTAGCACCCCTGATCCCTGCCCACAAGTCAGGTCCCAGCTTTTGGGAATGAGCTGAGAGGGCCCCAAGTGTGCAGTTCTGCAGAGGGCAGGCTCCCTCCCTCTTGCAGGATCTGCACAGAAATGCAGTGGTGCATACATCTAAAATCCATGCAATGAAGTGAGCTATAGCCCAGCTTGCAGAACCATAGCCCTCTGTTTACAGTCCTGATGCTTTTAAAACCAGAAGGAAGGCAGCATGAGCTGTGAATATACCTGGCAATCCAGGAGGATGTTCTCAGGTTTTAAGTCCCTGCAAGACAAAAAGTGCTGTTTGAGCAGATTTGGCCAGATATTTAGAAAAGCCTGTTCTGAAACAGCATCAGCTAAGAAGAGGAGCTAACAAGACTCCACAATCCAGTTCACCAAGACCTTCCCAAAGTGCAGATTCCCATCACTGTTGGGTATCAACCTACAACATATGCAAACATAGAAAGACTGCTGCAGTGGTCTAAAAACAGCTGAAGAAAGAGGAGCTTCTGAATCAGGTGTTAGCCTGCATTTCCCTGCATATCTATGCATAAACTGGCACTTACAGACAGTGTCTTCCTTCTTGTGCCAGGTTTATTTTAGATCTTTTCACCCAACCATTCTCCTTCCCACTATCAGGCTGGGAGCATTTATTGCCCATCAAGTCCTGTGCAGACAGCACACCTCTTGCAGGGTTAAAATGCCAGCAGTGCACTGTCTTGTCTGGGGTAGGAGATTCTTCAGCTACTCCAGTCCTGCATTTTGCATGGCCCCAGAAGTCTTTTCCCTCCCCAGCACTGCACACAGCCTGGCCGGGCAGACTTGGTGCCCCTGCTCTCCCTGGCAGGACACATCTTACCTGTAAATGATGTTTAAGGAATGCAGGTACCCAATTGCACTAGCGACTTCTGCAGCATAGAATCGGGCCCGGGGCTCACGGAAGCAGCGCTCCCTTTGCAAGTGGAAGAAGAGCTACAAACAGATCATAAGATTGATCATTTCTTCTCTAAAAAACTGAAGGATATCTGGAGCAAGCCTGAGAGCCAGCTACTTGAGTGAAAACCAATTTGGAGCAAGTGGCACACGAACAGCACCAAATAAACCCAAACCAAGTGACTTCAAGCAATCTAAGCACCTTTCCAGAAATTGCTTCATTTGTCATCTTCTTATGTCACCATCTCACTTAATTCATTGCCCCAAAACTGGTCATCTGTGATCTAGTTAAGCTTTCGAGCTTGCTACAACCCACAGGCTGTAGTATGGCCACAAAGAGCAGTACATGCACAGAGCTGAACCCACTAAGATCCCTGATATGAATTAGACTTGGACAAGACATCCATGTTAACAGTATCACCCAACTAATTTCAGATAGCACAGAAAAAAAAACAGCTGAAGAAAGAGGAGCTTCTACAGAACAGAAAAAGAAGTCTAACATGCTGCAATGGAATCACCCAAGCACTAGACTGGAGTCCAGAGCTGGCCCACAAGTGGGTTTTGCCTAAAGCTCACCAACATCAGCATTTCCCATGTTCTGCATAAGATTTTAAAATGCCCCTAGCACATGTTTATCAGGGTCCTTGCCTTGGGAATCATCTGACAGAGGGCATATCCAACAAGATCTTCACTCAACTTACAGGTGAGATAGCATGCCAGCCACTCCTAGCTGGGCCTTGCCAGCAATCAAGGCAACATTATACTTCAACATCATTATCTTCTGACAAGAAAGTTTTAGGCAGTAGAGCAGCATGTTTGGGAAGGAGCAAATAAAGGATTAAAATAGAGCCTGTATGTGCACTCACCTCTCCCCCATTTACATAGTCAAGCACAAAGTAAAGCTTCTCTGAGGTCTGGAAGGAGTAATGGAGTCCCACAAGGAAGGGGTGCTTGACATTTTTCAGGAGCACGTTGCGCTCTGCCATGATGTGGTTTTGCTATCAAAAAGCAGGCAAGGCATTAGAGTTTCAGGCAAGGGTCCAGTCCAGTCTGACATAGGGGCTCACTGCTGTTTTGAAAACAAGTAGAAGCCAGGAGTTCTAGGGGGTCATCTCCCAGAAAGGGAACCACTCTCTCCTCTAACCCGATTCATCTCAGTTCTCCATTTTCCCATGGTACCAAGAAACCCATGTTTAACACGTGTCTTGTCTATGTGAATGCTCACTCAGCCACAAGATAACCTCAATTGCATTACCAGGATTGCTCATACACTGACCACTATCTGCAGAAGTAGCTAAGGAGAGCAGACATACCTCTTTTTTCTTCAGGATGGTTTTCTTATGCAAGACTTTCACAGCATAAAAAGTCCCATCACACTTACGTTTGGCCAGGAGAACCTGCAACAGAAGGTCCTGGTCACAGGTTTCAGTCTCACCTTCTGCCACCTGGTTAGTGTTTCCTCATTAGCTCAACACTCTTGTGAGTGATTATACAGAGAACAGCTTCAGAGGGTCAGGCACAACGTTTTAAAGACCAAGCTCCAGCCCACTGACTTCCCAGCACTTTCTCATTACCAGAAAAAGGCACACAACATCTCCACATACATCTCTTACACACCCAATAGAAAGTAGTTTGGGATCATTTGGGGATAGTCGCATTTAAAGTGGATCCTTGCTATCTTACAAGGTACAGATTTGTCTAGAGATCTTTTGCTAGCTGAACAAGTCCAAGGCTTATTTTCAATCAAGTACTGCTCCTCACCATCACCACCCTGAGTATGAAACACCTCACACTTCTGTCCTTAGAGAGGCTGCAGGACAGCTCAAAGTAAGCATGGACTATGAAAACCCTATCTCAATTCTCACTGGGAATCAGTTCCACTCAGTCCAAGCTCCTCCAGAGAGGTGCAAGCAAAGGACACAGCTAGAAACTCCTTCAGCAAGGAATTCTTTCCAACCTGCCTCTAAAGAGCTACAGCCCACCTGTACAAATCCACTTACTTTTCCAAAGCTTCCTTTACCAATAACCTTCAGGAAATCAAAGTCTGTTGGCTTGGCACTGTTGGGCAAGAATGAAGCAAGTTAATGTTTCTGGGAGAGAAACATGCAACAGCAACACTACCATCAAAGCAGAGTTCCTTTTTGGAAACACAAGTGTTTGTGAAAGGGATTAAGGGGCACTGGACAGGTGACCCGCGCTCCCAGCAAGCAGGAGATTCACACCATGTATGTCAGTGCACCCAGCAGGGGACAAGCAATCCCTCAGCAACCCCCCAGCTGAACACAGCAGCAGGTGAAAGCACCTGTCAGGACCAAGTGGCACCTTTACAGGGGACACAGTTATCTCCATTTCTAGAGAAAGATAGTCAGGGAGCCAGCAGTGATGAGGAAGATCTTCCCTTACTACCTTTCAAGAGAGATGGGACAAGGGGCTGCAAACACGGACAGGAGAGGATGATTACGATAACAGGGACCAGCTATAGCTGAATGTCTTGAAAGCTGGTGCATTGGTGATACATGTGGTGTTAAAGGCCAAGTAATGTAATTGTTAGGACTTTTAGAGAGCAGAGACCACCCATGCAAGACACAGGGACCAACTGCATTCCCCTGCCAGATCTCTTCACTGCATGCTCCACACCCTACCTGGCTTTTGCAGGGAGCTTACTTTGGGTTAGCAGAAGGTCCAAGGTTGATGTTGTCACTTGGTGTTGGAGGCTAGAGAGGATAACAATAATATTAGTCACAAGGACCACGCTGCAAGTTGTGCTTTCTCTTCCTCAATACAGCACCCCTTGCACAGAGCCTTTGAGAAACACCCATCAGCAAAAGACACCGTGGATGCCTTGGTAAACTAAGTGATGGGGAAAGGGAGAACAGAGCTACGCACTAAAGCAATAGCACAGCTGGAGGCTGTACTAAGCTAGAGTCTCATCCCACACTTGCACAACGAAAAAGAGAGTACTAAGACTGTTTGGCTCCTAACTTGAGGCTTTCAAGACCTGCTGTGCTGCCACAGAAGAAAGGCACTGCGTGGCTCAGTTGCTCACTGCAGCACCGAGACAAGGTGCTCCCCACTGCCTGTGCCAGGCAAAAGCCCTGTGCACAGCTCTGGGACAGAAGAGCACTTCTGCAGCAGGACATCAGCAGCTCACACCCCCCCTCAACACTGCACCCCTCTGCCCACTCCCATTAACCCCCAAAACTGCCAAGCCTAGAGCCTTGGAAGTGGCCTTATGCACACCTAGCACCACAGAGGTGCTCAGCCCTCTTCCCAATGACAAGGAGGTACATAAATACACAGTCTTCCTCCTGTTCCTGCTCCCCAGGAATCTTCCCCTCCCCAGGCTGTGGGAGCATTATGCCTTGTCCAAAAGGCTATATAGGGCCTCTCTGTTCTCCTTTTTCTCTACCCAGCAACACACACAGGGACAAGCCAGCAGTAAGCCTCCCAGCAGGCTAACACAGGCTCTCCTCCTTGCCTTTCTCCTAGAGGCACCAGCCCTTCTCTTCATCCCAATGGTGAGGACTTGCTGTCTCAGAGCCATAATCTCACCTGGGTGCTTTTGTCCGGGCTCCGAGAACGATCCATTAAAAAAGCAACTCGTTCAGCACTTGGGAAAAGAAGAGCCCAGTATTGAAAACAAAATCCAAGAAAGAAACAGCTTCACACCATTAACATGCCAGGGACCAGCACAGACCCCAGTGCATCCTCACAGGAGACCTCAGCTGAGTTCCCCAGCTGCCCTCTTGGTAGCACTGCTACTCCCAAGGGGTAGGGGTGCACAGGCACTGGGGGAGGCAGAGGGTAGTGGGTGCACACCAACTATGGGGGGAAAATTGTTGCTGGATGCATGAGTGATTTGAACAAGCACAAGCATATTAAATGCCACAGTTGGCCCTTGATTTGCAATAGCAGAAACTGGTCAGGGCACCAACGCATGAAGACAAGCACAGCACAAGCAGCAGCACGGCATCAGGGCCAGACGAGGCTGCAGCCCTCCAGGCCATGGCCAGACCGCTCTCAAGGCAGATGCTGCTCCCACCCCACCGCACAGGGATGCTGCAGCACCCAGTCCTGCAACCCAGCGAGCATCCCTGCAGGGCAGTCAGGCAAGTCCAGCTGGGCTGGCAGCAGTTAGAGGCCATTCCCCCAGGCCAGTGCAGACCAGCACAGTTTGGGGCTGTTGACATTGCAGGGAAGAGGGGCTGGCCATGGCAGCCAGGGAGGGCTCGGTGAGCAGAGACATTAAGCACAGGGCTCTCATCTACCCAGTGCAGCTGCCGCTGGGGCTGGAGAAGTTGGACTTGAACAACAGTTCAGACCCACCCTGCTTGAGCATCACTGGGGAGGGAAAGGTCCTGCCACCCCAGGGATTCCTCCCCTTGGTTTTAAGGGTTCTCCCACACTCCTTGCAAAAACCAGGATTAAAGAGATGATGAGGAAAAAAAAAAAGCTCTGTACCCTTCTCCCCTGCCCCAGAGAGCTTTGTCCATTCCCCCTCAGCCCCACCAAGCTCTCATACACCACAGGGAGGCTCTAAAGGCTCCCATCCCCCCAGCCACCCCCTGCCCTGC